CGTGTGTGACAGCGTCTGCGACCCGGACTGACTGAGCCGCTGCCTCTCCTGCCGCTCCGGGGGGGGGGGGGGGGCGGGAGGCGGGGAAGCGCGTGTGGCTGCGCGTGCGGCTGCTCCCACCGCGCGGCGGCGCGCGGAACTGCCGGGTCCGGGTCCGGGGTCCCGGAAGTGGAAGCAGCAAACAACTGAAAACAAGTGGAAAGTAGCAGAGAAAAAGACCAAAAAGAAGTGGAAAAGGCAGCAAAACAATTGATAAAAATCTAGTCAGATTAATATACTGTAAGTGGAACTAAAGAATTAGGGGAAAAACCAAAGGGGGCTCTGGTCCCTCATGCTGGGGGGGCATAGAAGTCAACTGGGGGTTAATGGAGAGCAGCTAAACGACCAAAAATAAATAAAAGAAGCAGAAAAACAACCAAAAATAAGTGGAAAAAGCAGCAAAACCATGAATAAAAACGTAGAGTCAGGTTAATATACTCTAGGTGGAACTAAAGAATTAGGGGGCCATGGAGGTCACCTGGGGGGGTTCATGGTGGTTAGGGGGTTCTGATGGGTCAGTAACTCCCTGACCAGCTCAGCCATGGCCAACAACTGGACGCTCGGCCTGTCCCCCTCACAGCTGGAGCCGGCCGGGGTGATGTCATCCTGTGAGTGGAGCGGCTCAGCCTGGGTGGGCGGGGGAGGGGGGGCTGCAGGGGGGGGGTTCCCGGTGGCGCCCGGTGCCGGCGGCGGTGATGTCACAGCTCCGCACAATGCCGGCCCTCTCTCTCTGCGGCCTGTAAATGGGCTCCTTCACCTGGTTCCCACGTCCAGCGTGATGTCATCGTGACCTCACCGCTGACATCAACCCCCCCCCGCTATGTGCCCGTCCGCTGGACTTCATTCACTCAAGAAGATTAAGCGAACATGCATGTTTTCAGGTTTGAAAGATTTTATCAAAAGTCTTTTAAATAAAAATTTTGTCTTTTTTTACTATCATTTTTTTAACATTTGATCCATTTTAAACCCATTTCACACCCGTTTTACTCATTTTAAACCCATTTGGAATCCATTTAGCCAGCTTAATGCTCCTTGTTAAGTATTCCCAAAATGTAAAATTGTTACACGAAGAAACTGTCCAACTCCAAATAGTGTGGGGAAAATAAAGTTCCTCATTAAAGGTCTTTGCCCTATTCCTGAAGGATCAGGTGCTCAGCCACCCAACAGCAGCTTTCCTTCCAACAACACATTTCTAAATCAGAACATGGAAGCTGACATTCAGTCTGGTGTGTCCACGTGTCAGATCAGAGACTTTCACTCTGATGTGAAAGCTTCTGTAACACCAGCACCACTCTCCACCAGCAGAGGTCACTGCAGCCGGCCTCCTGGACCAAGCCGTTCTGGGGCAGGTGGCTCCAACTGACCAGTGCTAGC